CCCCCCCCCTAGATTCCCTCCCCCTCCTGTGTTTGCCATCGGGGTTGGGCTTTCGTCGCTTGAACGACCTTATATAACAAGCCAATTCACTTCGTGAACTCGGCAACCAGGTCAGCGCTTTCTTTTTTACCTCTTTTTTTTTGTTGCGGTACCATGATGGTGGTCGAGTAGATCATGTTGTGCGGGGCCGAGAACCCTCACTCCGCGCAAGGGGGATAATCTGTTTGGGTGCGGTAGCTCGTCAGAGGTCGAAAGAGAAAGAAGGTTGACTCAAGACCTTGTTGCTTAGAGAGTGAGAGACATGCGGCAGGCCACACCATCGCCATATAGCATGTCCATCAATACATACCATCCGCGTATCCCCCGGAGGCCCCGTAGACAGTATACTTGCCAAGCACCCCAAACAGGCCCCCTGCTCGGTACGAGATACGATCTACGAAATCCCCATCATGACGATCATTGCCAGATAAAACGGCAGACAGAAAAATCAAAACCCCTATTCCAGCAATAAATTATCCGCGATTCCAATCCAAACGACTCTGCCAATAGCACACGTCCCACGAAATCGCCGGATCTCCCAACAGAACACGTCTTGCAAAGCTTTCAAACCTTTTTGATGCCGAACTTCTACCCCTAAAAGGTCTGTCAAGCAAAACAAATCACCCTCTTGAGAAAAATGCTCTATAATACCACATCCTCAAGCAGTCAAAACACGAACAATCACCCTTGGAAAAATACCCAGCAATAGATCAACATTACATCAGAATCACGTCAGAACGGGGAGGACGGGAAACTCCGGGAAAACGTGTCTTACGTCCTGACCACTCAGAACAAATTCATTCCTCAGATAAATATTCATGTTTCAACTCTATTACCAGTTCAAATTACGAGAACATGCCAAACCCTTCCTCCGATATCCAATACCTTCACAAAGAAACAGGTCCAGCAGCCCCCCTGCTGTAACATCCATTCCATCCTGAACATGAAGTCAAAATCAAAATCAATCAATCCAACAGCCCCCCTGCTGCAGCATTCATCCCGAAAAATCAAAACCAAAACAAACCACCTGCGACAATATTTCCCCCCCATGACTCTCACGCAAAACTATCCCATCCATCGCGAAAGCAGAAATCAACATCGAACAGCAGATCAAAGGCCAGTTCCAGGTCACACATAAAACACATTTTGCAAGAAAGGTCCCCCCGCTGAAATAGTGCAACACAAAGAACAAATCAACGAATACTCATCACGAAGTCACGATGCGCACAACAAGTCTCCTTGGGCAGCGGTTTGGTCAAGAAATCCGCGCGTTGCAGATCCGACCGTACGTGGACNCCTGCGACAATATTTCCCCCCCATGACTCTCACGCAAAACTATCCCATCCATCGCGAAAGCAGAAATCAACATCGAACAGCAGATCAAAGGCCAGTTCCAGGTCACACATAAAACACATTTTGCAAGAAAGGTCCCCCCGCTGAAATAGTGCAACACAAAGAACAAATCAACGAATACTCATCACGAAGTCACGATGCGCACAACAAGTCTCCTTGGGCAGCGGTTTGGTCAAGAAATCCGCGCGTTGCAGATCCGACCGTACGTGGACTACCTTGAATTCCCCCCGCGCTACACGCTCACGGATGAAATGGTGGCGGATGTCGATGTGCTTCGAGTTGGGGGTAGTAGCCGGGTTACTTGCCAAGTGAAAAGTGCCTAGGTTGTCCTGCCACACCGGAGTGCACCCCACATCACGGCCCGGAAAGATAATTTCCACAGATACAGCAGCAAATAGCCTCCTTCATCCCATCAGACATCGCCACGTACTCCGCTTCCGTCGAAGACAGGGTGACGCTCTTCTGCGTCCTGCACAGATATATCACACACGCACCAGCGAACATCACTAGTGCCCCAGAAACATACCGCCGGTCGGTTGCCTTGTTGGCGAAGTCCGAATCGACAAAAAGTTCCATGTGGTATCCTCCCACCGTGCCCCTTTGAAACGTAATCCCGTACCCGCTCGTGAATCTAACATACATCAAAACATGCAAAGCCGCCTGCCAGTGCAGTCGCTTCGGTGCGTGCGAACACCTCGCAACGGCACGTACCGCGTTGAGAATATCCGGGCGAGTGTGATTCGCCAGCCACATCAAGTGTCCCACCAGCGACCGGAAAGGCTCGTCNTTGAAACGTAATCCCGTACCCGCTCGTGAATCTAACATACATCAAAACATGCAAAGCCGCCTCCCAGTGCAGTCGCTTCGGCGCGTGCGAA